TCCCCCACTGGTAGTTGGGTATTGTTGCCTTTGATCAATTCTGGTGTGCAGTTTGTGGGGGTACTGGAGATAGTTGGCAGGTTTTGTGTTTTGAGCTGTAGGAAGTTGGCTTCAGTTTTGGTGATGAGGTTAGGTGCTTGTTTGAATGTAGAAACCACTTTTCAGATCTGGGCCTATGAACTGCACTTCATCGGCCTCCTAGGCAGTAGGTACAGAAACTTATGGACTCAATATACACAGCCAGGAAGGGTGCACCTGATCACAAATATACACACATAGAGTCGCACAGTCAGGGCGCACCTAACACATGCACTAGGTGCTCCTACTTGACAGGAAAGAAGGGCCTGACAGTCCCGTGGGGGTACCTTTGATGTTGCTGCTGATGCTACTGGTGTTGAGCCAGCTAAGTTATTTTGACCTGCCATCATTTAGTGGTGGACCAGGCCAAGGCTGTAGGGGAGGAGGCCTCACTGGGGCACACTGCCGTGTTGTGCAGTGGCCCCAGCACCAGGAAGGGCGCACCTGAACACACACAGTGTCACCCACCCATGTCACAAGTTTGCCTGCCTTTGGCCAGAGGTGCAGGGCCCCAGAAGCCAGACTCCCCCTGCACCTATCTCTTTGACAGCTGGCAGGCTTTGTGGCTGCAGCATGGCCTAGCAGCCAAGCCTGCAGTAGTTTCCACCCCACCCCATGCCCCTGGGCCCTAAGACAGACACAGTTGCACATGCACCCATGTCACAAGCTTTGCCTGTTAGCAGCTGGAGGTGCAGGGCCCCAGAACCCAGACTTCCCCTGCACTTATCTCATTGACAGCTGGCAGGGCCACAGCAGGGCCTAGCAGGCCTGCATTTTTCACCCTGATGCGCCTTAACACATGCACACAGTGTCACCTATGTCACAAGTTTTGCTTGTCAGCAGTTTGAGGTGCAGTTTCCCAGAAACCCCTGCACCTATCTCCTTCAAACTTGGCAGGCTTTGTAGCCTCAGCAAGAGCTACCATTCTGGCAGTTTTCACTCCACTGTGGCTTAACATACACATGTGACATGAGTTTTTCTTTCAGGACTTTGAGGTGGAGTTCCCAGAAACCCCTGCACCTATCACCTTGAAACTTATCAGGCTTCATGATCACAGCAGAGGCTACCATTCCTGCAAGTTTTATGTGAATCAGCCAAAAACCAACAAAGTTATAGATATTTCATTGATTCGCCATTATACTCTATGGCCAAATCTCTGAATCGGCTCCGAACTGACTCCAAATCTTCTAAAACGATTCAGCCGAATCGAATCAGAAAAACTATTTGGATCTCTGAATCAAATCTCTGGTATCCGAATTGGCTGAATCCAAATCCACATCCAAATCCAAATCAAATAGTTCCCTATTTGCACAGGCCTACTAGCCAGGTGGGCCTCTTTTTGTACTTCCCATTCTTACATTGCATCAGGATAGCTCGCTACTGTGCCCTTCAGAAGGGCCTCCCTTAAATACAGCCAGCTCCCCCTGACTTCTTTTTCCCTAAGACATGCCACCCAGGGGATCCTGCCCACAAGATCACTGAGTTTTCTAAAGTCACGTGTCTTTATTCTTCTGTTCTCCTTCCTTCTTCTCCTTAGGATCTTGAAGTCTATCTACATGAAGTCTACCTAAGATCTTGGCTGCACCTACATGAGATGCTGACTGTGCAGTCAGTACTATATATAGACAGAGAAGTACACACAAGTACTGAAGTATACACACGTAACCGGAGTTACTGCGCAGTAGTGTTGCGGAACATCTTTTAGGTGATGCTGACTGTGTAGTAGCTCATTACTCCTGAGCAATAGCATTGCATCACACTTCAGTCAGCACCTTGTGTAGATGTGGCTACTGTCAGCCAAGTTGCCTTCCACTTTTACATTCTCAGCCAGTTCCTCCCTGTTTGTGAGCAGCAAGTCAAGAAGAGGTTTCCCCCTTGTTGTCTTGTCTACCATCAGTATCAAAATGTTTTCCCCAGCACATTCCAAGAATCAGAATCCACATTCCAGGACTCCTTGTGCACCGCTGTGTTTCCGTCCCAACAGATGTCCCAGTAATTGAAGTCCCCCATGGGAACCAGGTCCTAGATCTGTTGACAGGAGCAGAAAAGAAAGGAAAGCTGTTCATCATCATGAAATTGCAAACTGAAACTTCTCTTCCATTTCCAAAGCATTGGATATTAATTGCATTCCTTTTCCATTTGTCCTTCACATCTTTGTTCTCCCAGAGACTTAGCTCTTTCTCTATGCAATGACTATTGTTGGGAGTTCCCCCGATGATGCCCTCCTCATTACTGTCACTTGAGGACATTTGTGGTGTTTGTCTCACTTTTCCATTTCTTCCTCTCACTATTCCTGCTTCAATATTTACTCACATACTACATACATGCTTTCCCCCCAGAATCAGCCCTCCAAAATTAGGACAGACCAACTGCAGATCCTTCCTCAGCCTGATGAAGGGTGTTTGTGCCCAAAAGCTTGCAAAGAAGAATTTTTTCCAACTGTTTGAGTTGGTCTAATAAAAGATAGCTGGTTTACCCAAAGAATCTTTTCTGCCTATGTCTTAAGTAGGGAAGTTGATTTTCTGTGCTGGAATTTAAACATAGTAGGCTGTAGTAACTATCACAGGTGTTTACTGTTTCCATCCAGGGCGGGAGGGGTTGAATGCAGTCTGCAGCGTATGAGGTTCAACCCTTTTATCATTGCTGCTGAACTGGCAGTAGCTTTTGACTGAGCAGCCAAAAGCTGTGAAATGCGTTCAACCTATAGCTTTTGCCTCTGCAGCAGTGATCAGGATTCAGACACACAGTCAGGATTCAGCCACTGGAAAATCTTTTTTTTCTTCATTCTGCCCTCTGAAAACAGGTAGGTGTCTTATTTGAGGATGCATGGGTAAAATACGGTAATTCTCCTTTTCTTTTAAAGTTACCTTCAGCATGCTCTTTTCTCCAACTGTGGAGCATTTATATGACCTCCTGCTGCCTCTGCTTTGTCTTCTTTTCCCAGTGTCAGAGTTTAAAAAACAAAAACCGAAACAAACCAAAACAAAAATCCTCCACATGTGGCTATGAGGACTCCACAGGGACTAACTCTGTGGTTTATAATGCCATCAGAAGCATGCAAACATTTATGTGGTACTGATGCAACCATAACATTTATGGATTATATTCAGCAGGAATATGCATGAGGTTTTAACACTGAATTTCCATTAGAGGGAGCAGTGTCTAAGGAATACACAGGGTTTCTCTGAAAAGCATTCTGTAATATGGTTTTCTTTTCTCTTTTCATTCCACATTTTATATAGCCTATCAAAGTTTTATTCTGCTGCCCATCACCATGCTACCTGAGGATTTTTCTTTGTTGTTATTTATTATTTATTTGTCGATCTATAATGAATTTTTCTTAAGTGAATTCTGATGAGAGGTGAGGAAGTTGGAATGAAATGCAGTACAGCTGCCGACAGACTTGACAGAACTGAGCACTGTGAATGGGGACACGCTTATAAGAAAGGAAGCTGGTGACAGGTTTGACTTGATATGAAATTCTCAAGAAACAAAATGTCAAATGAGTTGGTTGTCATGGATATGGTCCTTAGAAGAAACCGTTCTCTGTTTCTGAAAGTTTAAATTAATCAGTTTTATTGAGTTAAAGTTGCTGTTTCAGGAAGGGGTGACTCAGGCTGTAAGTACCGAGTGATGCCTCTGCTGCTGTGTCAATTATGGGTTGATTCATAGATGCACCTGAAGCTGACAACTGGCACTAGGAGCTAAAATTACAGTGGGACTCATGCATCCAACTGCCACTTTAAATGCCTGAAGTCCAACATTTAGGTGTCACCAACATCCCTAAAATCTGTGCTCAACTGCTGCTCAAATGAAATCCTCTAGTCACCTAAGTGTGTACTGAATTTGCACAAAACTGAGTTAGCTAGCACTGAACTTCTTGAGGCCCTTGATCACACCTAACCCATTCTCAAACAGGGCAACCCCACCAGCAGGGCCCAAGGAGGTTGCTAATCTCAGAGAATGCCTGGAACAGGAGGGATGTCATCGTCTGCAATGTTTGCTGTGGGGGGTGGCAGTGGTTATGCTCCACATCCTGCTGTAGCTCTCCTTGGTTTTCCATGGCGACCCTGGGCTCGTCCTCTTGCCTTTCCCACTGGAAGTGTTGGCATCACTTCTGCTTGTGGCACCAACTCCTCCTCATCTGAGCTGGATGAAGCTTCTACAGACACATGGTCTTCTTGCTCTGAACAAGCTCTCATGTCTGGAACAAAGTCAGCATCCTCACTGCCTTGGGATAAGATTTTATCATCCCCAGTTTACCTGTGCAAGATAGGCTTCAGCACTGAATATGCTCTGCCTTCTCATCTTGGACTGCAGAAAAAAAACAAAAAATTGATTACTGCTGAATGCATATAAAGAACAATCAAAGCCAAGCCTGTCCATCCGTGCTGTCACAGAAGCAATTCTGCCCTGCCCTATGGCGGTGCAGGTAGCACCCTCTCCTCCTGGGCACAGAAGCCAGAGACCAACACCCACCCTTTGCAGGCAAGCCATATATGGGTGGATGCTGTTTGGAAACCACACATGCAGGGGCTTATTGAGAGCAGGTAAAAGAGGCATGGGGATGTCAAGCCCTTACCGTTCAAGGGGACTCCATTGTGTATGCTGTATTGCAGTATGATGTTGTTCTATTTCTTCTCTGCTGACCCTTTGCTCCTTGTCCTCACTTCCAGCAAGGCCAGGACAAACTAGCTTGTATGTTATGAAATGGGAAGGTGAGGTGGAGTTTGGCCATGAGAAAAAAGAGCAGAGGTGGATTTGGGTGTTACAAAGGGTTGGGGTGAGGGGTTTGGTACAGGGCAGGGTGTTTAGATGACCTTGCAGCCTGCAGACAAAGTGGTTAGCAAAAGGGAGTACCACATCTCCTGCAAAAGCAGAGGGATAGATAGCCATCCATTAGTTACCATGGATCTCTGAAGTGGACATGAAAGAGGTGTGAATGAATGCTGACCTTTCAGATGCATCCACCCAAAGTGACCAAACAAATCTAGGTCTGTCATTTATACAGACATTGCATTAGGGGTACCCAGTGCATTAACATGGCCTTGGGTTAAAGTTGGGAGGAGGATGGAAATTAAGTTTTGGAGTATACATTACCACAGCGTTGATGTTACTTTACCTTTTGGCCCTTAGGCTTGTGACCCTAGCCCCTAAGATTTTCTATATAAAAGTGCAGTTTCTGGGGCTGCAGCATGGCATAGTCTGTCTCTTGCTGATGGACTGTCTTTTTCCCCTAGCTTGAGCTCCCTCCTTGCTCTTGTAGTTTCATAGTTTCATAGTAGCTAGGGTCAGGAGGGACCTGAACAGATCATCTAGCCTGACCCCTTGCCACAGGCAGGAATGAATGCTGGGTTCACAAGACCCCAGACAGGTGATCATCTCACCTCTTTTTGAATTTACCCAAGGTGCAGCACCCTGCATTTATCTAAGTTGAACCCCATCCTATTCTCATCTGCCCACTTTGTAGTCTGTCTAAACCTAGTTGCAGCCTCTCTCTCCCTTCAAGTGTACCCACCTCGCCCCACATCTCAGTGTCATCAGCAAACTTGGACAACGTGCTTTCAACCCCCTTGTCCAAGTCGCTGATAAAGATGTTAAATAGTGCGGGCCCGAGGACTGACCTCTGTGGTACCCCACTGCTCACATCTCACCAGGCTGAGTACGACCCATACACCACTACACTCTGGGTGCGCCCCGTCAGCCAGTTTTTTACCCATCCAACTGTGTAGGCATCAATGCCACAGTCGCTTAATTTATTAATGAGAATGGGGTGAGAGACAGCATCAAAGGCCTTCCTAAAGTCTAGAAAGACTACATCCATGGTTACACCATCATCCAAGGATTTAGTTACCTGGTCATAAAAAGCAATCGGGTTGTTCAGGCAGGACCTGCCTTTGATGAACCCATGCTGGTTGCCCTGAGCATGATGTCCCCTGCTGGCCCCCCACAGATGTGCTCCTTGATGATTTTCTCCAAGATCTTCCCAGGGACCAAGGTGAGGCTTATGGGCCTATAGTTACTTGGGTCCTCCTTCCTCCCTTTCTTAAAAATGGGGACTACATTAGCTAGTGTCAAATCCCCTGGCACCAGGCCAGATGACCATGAATGCTCATACAGCTGGACCGAGGGCTCCACAATGACCCCTACCAGCTCCCTTAACACCCTTGGGGGGAGGGCATCTGGACCTGCAGATTTAAAAATGTCCAGCCCTTCCAGAAGATCCCTAACTACATCTGCGCTGACCCAAGGCCTGACAGAGCTATCTCTGAGATTTTCCCGGTCCCTGTTCAAGAACACAGAGGCAAAGAAACTATTAAAATATCGACTTTCTCATCTGGAGTAGCCACAAGGTCCTGCAGGGGCCCTCCATTGCGTAGTGCCCTCTTCTTGCTCCCAGTGTATTTGAAAAAGGACTTTTTGTTGTCCTTAATTCTGGATGCCAGCCTGAGTTCCATCCCTGCCTTGGCCCTCCTAATAGCCCTCCTACACTCATGGGCTGAGGAGGAGTACTCCTCCTTGGTGATAGCTCCTCCCTTCCACTTGTTGTATGCCACCCTTTTTGTCCTTGGGCATTGTTGAATGCCCTTGCTGAGCCACAGGGGTTTCTGAGCACTCTTACCCCCCTTGCTTCTCTCAGGGACTGTTGCCCTTTGGGCCTGGAGGATCGCCCCCTTAAGGTACCACCATCTCTCATGGACTCCCATCTCCTCTGCCTTCTGGGCCCTCAGTGCCTCCCCCAGTAATCTCTGAAGCTCATTGAAGCTGGCCTTTCTGAAGTCAAGGGCTTTCGTCTTGCTATAAGCCCTTGAAACCCCGCACTGGATAGTGAATTCCAGCAGGTGATGATCACCATTGTCCAGGTGGTCAAGGACCTGCAGTCCCCTCACCAGGTCATCCCCAGTTGCCAGGACCAGGTCCAGGAAGGTGTTATCCCTAGTGGGGCTGTGCACCTCTTGGATAAGATGACGGTCCTGTAATACAGCTAGGAACCTCTCTCTGTGTCTCTCTGAGTTTTTTAACTACCTGGAGGTACTCCTTGAGTAGCCAACTGCCTGCAGCTGAGCCTCTGTCACAGGCTCCCTCTGAAAGGATTAGACTACCATGTTGCAGGCAGGCATCTGGTGCAGAATAAAGAACTGTGCAACATTTAAAGACTGTTGGGCTAAGCAATATCCCCAAACCTGCTACAGCCTCTTACTGTCCTTTATGCCATTGCAAATGCTCCCTGGCTCGACTCTGCCCCTTCCCCCCATACTTACCCCATACATTCCCCATGCTCAGTATCACTGCATTGTCCCTCAAACTCATCAGACCCCACCATCCTCCTCAAACCCCAGTGAGTACCTTGCCTCCATCACTGACCCCGTGAATCCACTGCACTCTGCAGACACATCCCCATCATACTCTTGTCCCTCTGATCTCTCACCATCCCCTTCACATCCCACTGAGCCCTCCCCTGCTCCTTTCAGCATTCAGATTCACTTCAGCCTTTCACACCCTCTCATTCATAACCCCCTTTTTCCTGACCTTCGCTCACACCTCAGCTCACTTCTTCATGGATCCTGGAAGCCCCTTCCCCTCAAAACCCCTCCCAAACAGTTCCCCCCCACCTGTCACAGCCCCCAACTGCCCTCCTGCTGCTCTTCCCTTCTGGACAGCATGCCCATAGCTGGCCTCCACTGCCTTCCACCCCTCCACAAAGAGAAAAAAATAGCTGGCATTGGAGGAGGACTTGTGGAAACCAACCCCTCTGGATCCACTCATACCAGGCTTTAGGCTGCCCTGGTTGTGCTGCTGGTTCAGTGCCCCACAGCTTCCATCATCTGCTGCAATTAATAACCCAAGGAAGGGTCACTACATAACTTTCCTCTTCATTTCAACTTTGCAACTCCCTCCTGCTCTGAGTGCTGCACCACTGTACAACTCACCCTAATCTAATGCTACTCCTCCACTTCCTGTCTCTGATTTGTTGTGAGTCTGAATCCTCTGTGAACAAGGCCACCAAGTACAGGTTCCTAAGTAGCAGCACACCTCTACTGGAAGGGCATGCAGAAGAACATTGCCAGGAGTAAATAACAGATAGGATAATTGTAGAAGAAAGGACAGCTTGATTAGGGGGAGATACAGTGTTGTTAAAATATGGAGTGAAGAGATTAGCAGGGGTCAAGTAGATAATTATGAGCCATGAAGTCACTTGGCTCCTTCAGCTGCACCTGAATAGAAATGCAGCTATCCCTGCCAGGCAGTTTGTTTTAAACTTTGTGCAGACTAAGAATCAAGGCACAGTGCAACTGTACCCCAGTCTTTCTCTTCCCTTCCCCTGATCTGTTCTAGCATAGGCTTGAGGAAAATAGGAAAGCAGTTCAATAGCAGGAGAATTGGGGCAAGGATGGAACGAGTAGAACATCTGGAGGCACAAGGTGGGAGACGGAGTTTCTGGCAAGCAGGAGAGCCAGTCCAGGGCATGGCAGGAAGTAGGGTACAGGAGCTCTGTGAAAGAGGAGAGGATCTGTATGTGGATGGTGAGAGGGCTGGCAGGGGCTCAGCTGGATGTTGGTCCCAAAAGAACTAAGTGCTAGGTTAGAGACCATGCTGGCATATGTCCTTTCAGGAGGAACATACCTTGTGCAGAGTAACCATCAATGTGACTGCTGCCTAGCTGTCCAGTTTTGCATTCAAATAAAGGAACCTGAAGCAGCAATCCCAATGATTCAGTTTCAGGAGTTCCTTGTGAGCCGAAATGAGATCTGGGATCCCCACGTACTTTCTGTCCTTATGTGGAGCAGGGAGCATCTGCAGAAGATGCTGGCGAAGGGTAGCTAAGTGGAGCATGTGAGGCTGTAGCGGGCATTGCCAATTTATGGAGGCCCTGGGTTTGGTTGCTGACCTAAGACTGTCTCCACATGGTATGATGTATAGGAGCTGATTGAGGATGAGTTTGCAGAAGCGATGGCAGATGTTGGAAAAACTGGTTTAGAATCTGAGTCTAGGTCTCTTTCTGGGTCTGTTTGTTGGCCAGCTGGTGACTGTGGGCATGATATGTTGGAGGAGGGATCAATATATTGTTCCAGTGTACAATCAAGCATGGTGCTGAATGGGAAAAATAACACAATGGGATGTGTACATACATTTGTGTAAACTGCAGGGGTGTCATTTGCAAACCAAGTGAAGTGATTATTCCACTTTATTTAGTACTGGTAGGGCTTCACTTGGAGTTCTGTGTCCAGTTTTATATCCCACACTTCAATAACGATTGAAGGGCAAATTTGAAAGAGTTCAACAGACAGCAACAAAAATGCTTAAAGGTCTGGGAAACATGACTTATGAGGAAAAACTGGGTGGGTTATTTAGTCTGGCGAGGGGAAGACTGAGTGGGAACTTGATAACGTTTCTTAAATACATGAAGGGCAATTATAGAAAGAAAGGACATGGCCTTTTCTCTGTGGCTGTAGGGGGACAGGACTAGGAGCAATGGACTCAATCTGCAGTAGAGGAAATGTAGGTTGGAGACTAGGAGGAACTTTCTGACTATGATGGTGGTGGAATATTCACCCTTGGAAATTTTAAAGAGCAGGTTGGACAGACCCTTGGCTGGAATGGTTTAGTCTGGGATGATCTTAACTTGAAAAGGGGTCTGGATTGTATTCCTTCTGAGGTTCCTTGAAGCCCTACTTTCCAATGATCCTATTGCAATCACACTAAGTGATATATGGACTTCCAAAGATAGGTGGGCTTGTCCTGTTTCTGCATTTCAAAACTCACTGAGATCCCTACCACTTGTGCATTGTTCTTTCAATAAATCCTTTTGGGGGATCTTGATTGATTTTTTTTGCCTTTGACTGAGCATTTTTGCCTGGCTAACTTCAAGGGTTTTCCTCTGCCTTTTCATTTTTTGGTTGGAATGTGTGGGGCTTCTCTCATTCCTAGCTTAGATAACTTCTCACTCTGCTTCATTCCCAACAGTGGCACCATGAGAGCTGCTGCACTGTGCTGCAAGGGTTGCTTCCAAAATTGGAAGTAGGGTAGTTGTACCTGTGCAGGGCTTTGGGTAGGCTAAATAGTACTGTTGAGTGATGGTGCCAATCAGTCTGCCATTTGCATTAACTAGTCTATCTGTGGCACTGTGTGGATGCAAATGCATTGCTTCTAGTTTATAGGGCAGCCCATGTGGATTACTTGAGAGTGCCACTAATTGGGACATCAATCAAATTTACCATGTAGTCAATGGCCAAAGGCATTTGACTTTCCCTGTGCACTGAATGGGGAATCTGGGCACCTAACTTGGGGCTGTGAATTGCACTGGGTGGCAAGGCACTTATTCTCTTTATGCATAATGCCCCTAAGTTAAGTTAAAAAATATATATTGACAAACTGGAGGAGAGAAAAAAGAATAAAAATAATTTGGAAAGTGAAGGAAGTAATGTAGGACAAAACTTATATTTGTGCATCAAACATTTCATGATAAAATGGCAAACTAGCACCCTACCTCTATTTCAAAGATGTAAACAGTAGTGAAGGAGTGGAGTTACTCTGTGTGGTTCAGAGGGTGGCACTAGGAGAGTGAGATGACATTTAGATAGAGAGAACATAGACTAGATGATAGTGAAAAAACTCAGTAGTGGTGAAAGCTATTAAGGCATTAGGAGTGTCATCACTTGAGCTTTTTAAGATGAGGCTGGACAAGACCAGCAGAAGTACTGAAGGGAAACATTCTACATTTTCAGGAGATGTACTAGCGAACATTTTATGTTTTCCCCATCACCAGCTTCCACAATCCTATTTTTCTTTAGTTAAAATAGACAGCAGGCTTCAGAAATGTTGAGCACATTTATGCTTCTCACACAACTAAATTTTAACCTGCATCCTGTGAATTAATACATGCTTGAGGGGATATCACAAAGCTTTGAAAATTACACTGTTCACAGGGGGTGTTCTCTTTAACAAGTTACTTCGTACATTTTCTGCTTTCCCTGTCATTTTTCTCTCACTTCCAAGATCACCCCTGTGTGAATAGATGATTAGGTGATTTCCTTTTATAAAACTTCAAACATACTATTTTAGTTCATTCTCAGTGTTCAAAGTGTGAGACTGCAGTTCATTAGGAGTTTGACTTCTGCCTACATGATACAAAAACTGTGACAACCAACTGAACACTGTGAGCCCTAAGTCCCAATAGTCATGCCTCCTCCGGTCATAACTTCTCATACCCGCACAGCTAAGCAGGGCTGGCTTGATCTGTAAGGAAAATCCAGTGCAAAGTGAACACAGAGCTAAAGATTCAATAGATATTGTTTTTGCAGTTTAGGATCTTGTCTGCACAGGAAAGATTTACCAGTTATACTGGTATAATTCTCTTTGCCCTTTCTCCTATGAAGGCACTTTTATTGCAGAAAATAATGCTTATTTAGCATTTTCTATATCTGTTTCCAAATAACATCAGCTTTAAAAAGTGCTCACACTGGAATACGTTTATAAGGAGATTATACTGAGATAACTGCATTTGAATTCTCACTTTAGGTAATATTATATATAGTCAGGGGTGGAGCAGGGATGCAGGATACATTGCATATGAGATGTAAAACTAATGTCCCCATCACTTATGGTCTTTAAAGACCACATGGGAGCTTTGTAAGAATATGAAAGCTAGTGCTGTTCTCTCAGATTCCAACTGAATCACTATATCTTGTCCTGTTGAAAAGCCATTCTGAATCTGTAATTGGAAAAGGTGTTCTTTATTTCCCCATCCCAAGAAAAAATCCCTAAAAATTTTGTGTGGAATTGCTGACATGAAAAAGCCCCATATTTATGTGGGTTTGAAGATGAGGAATGTTTCTTAAGAAGTAATATTGTTTTTAGGTTGCACCAACTATTGCTGGGTATGGTCAAGATGGCTGCTGCTTTTCATCTCCAGGTTTATTTGGAGTTTCTAAAAAGTGTTGAAGGTCTCAAGAGTTTTGACAGCAATTAAATGCAATGGCTCTGAATGGTTCTACCTGACTAGCTGTTGCATTTCAGCAAATGAAACATTGTTCCATACTTATACAGCCAATAAAGCACTTAAAAATCTTTCTGGATCTCAAGTGCCTTATAAATAAAAAGCATTATTAGCTAGCAAGATATCTGCTGAGATGCAGCCACTGCTGGATCTTTGCTTGATCTATGTCTTTCTTTCAGGATTGTTTTCTTTATTTTTTTTCTGCTGTAGACAAGACTTGTATTTTTTTTGTAACTTCTCACACTCAGAATGAGAAGAATAGTAGGAAAGCTGAAAGTACACAGTTCATAGCTACTAGCAAAGAAGCAAGCAGCTCAGATTACAATAGAAGTGTGGGAACTGGACAAATGTAACAGAATTCAGCTAGACTTGGGCTTGGCCTCTGATACAAAAAGGGGAAAGGGACCAGATCCAAAAAAGACACTCAACTGCAGCTCAGGTGCCACCTACGTGAGCAACTCAAAAACAGTTTACTGCTTAGGACAGGAGGCAGCAACATATAGCCTGCAGGCTGGATCTAACCTGCAGAGCCACAGGGCTTTGCTTGTGCCTGTGCCCATGCCTGCACTAAGTCTGAGTGGGGAGGAGCTATGTGGGGTAAGTGAACTGGGAGCTGTGCCTGCGCTCCTTCCACTTCTTACTGTCTCACAACCCTTTCCTAGTTTCCAAGGCTGCAGCATGAGTGAATCTTCCAGCCTGAGTGGAGCTGCACTGGGGACAGGCTGGGCAGTGGGTGGGAGGGCGTGTATGGGAGGGGAGGGGGGTCAAGGAGAAGCAGGAGCAGTGTAAAAGCAGCCTCCAGTTCCCCAGCCCAGCCCCAAGCCAAAGTAGCTCTGTTTGGGATGGAAGCTATGTTTGCATAGCAGCCGTGGAGCAGGACGGGGTTGGGAGAAGCAGTAGTGGCACAAGTGCAGCTCCTAGCATTGTTCTGGCAAGGGCACTAAGAGAGCCCCTGCTACGCACTGCTGAAGCCTCCCAGCCTGTGTCAGGCTAGAGCTGAGTTGTTCCAGCCCATGGCTTGATGCAGTTTGCTGCCCCTGGCTTAGGACACAGGCACCTGACCTTTTGTCGCTGAAATCAGGCACCTAAGGTTCTGCAATTTCACAAGCCTAGAACTGCCATCATCTTGGCTGAGCTGAGCATCTTGGCCTTACATCTAAAACTGTTTAGGGTTCACAAACCAGGTCTGAAAGGCCTGATCTACTTGCCATGCTTTGAGCATGCTTAACACATGAACATAATTAAGTTCAGAACAAAACAGAAATGCAAAAATCTAGGACTCTTGGTTCCCAAATTATATCTTTTACTAGACCAACTGAGAAATAGCAACAAAAAAAAAATTCTTCAAGCGTTCAGGCTCATGCACCTTTCATCAGGATCAGGGAAAGTTCAAGACGGTAAAAAGTCCCCATTTGTAGGAAATAAACATCATTTTTGCACAGAGGAAGCAGAAGCTGGAAAACTGTCTCCCTGGATCCATGAGAGTCTCTCTGGGAGCTTGCTCTTTGTTGTGTAGATCAAGCAGGATTTCTTCCCTGGTGGTGTCAGATGGCAAGCAGGGAGGTGTAGAAATCTTTCTTGCCACCACTTTCATTCAAAAACACAGTCGGGGGTGTTACTGTTGCCCAGCATAGTGATTAAAATACCCACCCAGAAAATGAGGGACCTGATTTCCATGCCCCCAACCCCCATCAATGGTGGCCTTAGGGTTGCTGGGGCCCTGGGCAGCAGTCATTTGGGACCCCCTGGAGGCTTAATTTTGATGACCTATAAGCAAGTCAGACATTTTTTATTTCTATTTCACTTTGCCCTATCCATGAAACTGCAATGAAAGTATCTTAAAACAATATTGATAATACAAAGAAAGTTTTTTTAACGAGCTATATTCTAGATTAATTCTAGGTTCAACATTTCGGAGTCCCCCCAGTCTTAGACATTCAACATGGGGTTGTGAATTCTATTTCAAGAGTCAGCTTTGTGGCAAAACTGAGCAGTGCTGTGCCTGGCTCTCCTTGTGGATTGTAAGAGTCCTTGAGCAGGCTTCTGGAGACTGAGGTTTTATTTTCAGCTATGCCACAGACTTATAATCTGACCATGGGCAAATCTGTCTGGGCCAGGGAATCTTGAATTTATTTTTTGTAAAGTGCACAGCTTCAGAAGGAGTTGGGTGGAGCGTGTTCTCTATAATTATGCCATTAGGGTACTCTCTGGGAAGGTATGGATTTTGACCCCATTCAGGCAGAAGAAGACATAGGTCTCTAGCAAATGATCTAAATGTACAGCTGTTTTGTCTAGAAGTGGGGGAGGAGGGCTGGGGAGACCTCCCCACCAGTTGTATTTCTGAATGAAAGCTGCTGTGGTCACAGTATTACATTTGTGTGAAACTTCCCGAGACAGCACAGCATCAGTCTTAGAGAAGAGAAAAATAATGAAAATAAGAATCAGCCTAAAGCTCTGTATCTATTTAAGTAAAAGCAGTAACTTAAACACTCAGAGAAACTTGATCTGAAAAAAGACTTATTAGGGCATCTTGCTCTTCTCTGCCAGTTTAGGATTGTTTTCTTGAGTGCTTTATTTGCTGTCATGCTGTACAAGTGCTGAGGCTCCCATTACTTGCCTTGGGAGACGATTCCACAGCGTAAGAGATGTCTCCATTAGGTCACTTCCTGACATTCAATTTAGATTTCCTTTATGTAATTTCCTTTCCTTATTCCTATGATGCCTCTCAAGCCTCCCTAATCAATACCTTTCAGTAACTCATTTCTCATTACAGTGTAACCAGGCTCACTCGTGTAATTGTTTGAAATGTCCTGCGACCAAAATTAAATCCACAGGGTCTCTAGGGATTTGACAGACCAAAATCAGCCACTTGGAGACCCCAGGATAGATTTACAAGGAGGAAATAGACAACGTAGAGAGGCATTTAAGTGCCTATTTACAGCATTTATCTCCATTCTCCACATGCTGCTTAACCCTCTAGGTATCTAAATTGCCCTAGTGCCCGAGTTTCTGCTGATATTGTTCTGTAGGCACCTTGGTTTCTTCTTCTAAGCACACATTCCCATACATCCTGACAGACCTCTGCTGCTTGAAGCCAAGCTCGTGCCTTAAACCCCACTGGGTTACATAAAATAAGCATTTGCTTGACTGACTTAACTGTGGAGCTTGATCTTGCAGATGTGATCATACCATGTCTGACCCAACACAGAACACCAGAGCAGGAACCCCTCCCTCCAACCCAGACCAGTGGTCAGAGCATTCACAAGGGCTGTGAGAGATTCAAGTTCAAACCTTTCCTCCCCCTGAAGGAGTTTGAAGCTACAGCTCCTGCTTCCCAGGTGGGTGATCCAGCCAGCAAGCTATCAGGCATTCTGGGTTGGATTTTTCTCAGTCTGTGCCCTGTGGACTAGACTGAAGTCATCCCACTCCCAGGTGAGTGTCCTAACCTTTAGTCACTCTTACATTCATATTTTCTGGCTTAATTACTATTTAATTATCCCATGCAGAGTGGAACAGCTTTAGCAGAAAAAACTGAGAGAATCCCACATCAAAATGCCTTATCTCCCAAATAAGATAAGGCAGAACAATGGTAGAAATCCAGCTGGAAGAGTGAGAAAGCGCTAACAGGAAAGAAGCTGAGAAGGCATCGAGACTGTTTCTGGTGTCATTTACAATTACACTGCATTATGTGGTGCAAGAGCTGATAACCACAGCAGTAGGCTAATGAGCCATAATCAAAAAAAAAGTTCCATAATAAAGTATGTGTTTGGGAAATGCATCTTTCAATTCAGTCCTTCCTACCCAGGAGTCAGAATAATGATCTATAATATATGGCAGTAGAGGCAACATTTTATCGGTACCACAGAATGACAGGTAGCAAGCGCATTTTTTATGAGTTTGCATTATATTGTTTTTATTCACATCCCTAAGTTGAATTCCTGGAGTCAAATACCTCTTGACTAGCTAAACATTTATTCATCTGGATAGAAGAAGTGAGCAATAAGTCCCAAGGATGTGTGTATATGTGCGCATGTGTATGTGTGTGTGCAAGTTAAAAAGATTCACTTACCTGTCCTACTAACCTTATGTATTGTTCAATTCCTGAGATACAGTAACAGCCTTTTCAATGACAGTCAGTTATCCCTAGACAGCATAAAGACAGTTGGAGCACTCAGTAGCAGCCTCTTCTGCTGCCTGTTCTCATGAATTTGAACAGTAGCAATTTGTTTTATGGGGCCTGGCACCCGCCCTCACCAGTAACACAAAAAAGTGGCCTTTTGTAACCACACTCTATGCTCTTACAGTACCAATAGATGGCCTGTCTTGGCATGCTTGGATGCAAACAAGGAATGCGTATCACTTACCAACTACTATTTTATTTATTTAGGACTAGCTTGTGACTCTGGCTGTGGCCTCAGCAAGCATGATACGTTACAACGCTGACCCTGGATTAGTGCTGGGAGACAATGTCACACAGAGAAGTCTTTCTGAATAACAAGTCCCTCCATGCTCATCTCTCACTTTAAGGACAAAACTATAATCACTGCTTCCCTCACTCAGTGGAACTGCTTACCCCCTTCTGTGCACCCAGCCATGTACTGCACCTATCAGGCGTTTCAGTGGTATGTAGCATTGAGGGCCAAAATCGACCAAAAGGGATACCACCTAGGCATTTAACTATGCAAATAGCATTTGGGGGCAGTTGCAAAGATATTTTAAATCCTATTCTAGGGGCGGGCAAAATACGGCCTGCTGGCTGCTTCCAGCCCGCCAAGCACTTTCATCTGGCCCACGGTGTCCCGCCACAAATTTCACCCTGCCTAGCCCTTCCACCCATGAGGGTGGGGGAAGTGCCACGTGTACACCCCTAACCCCCAAACATACCCTATGGCACTTCACTCCCACCCTCGTGAGCAGAAGGGCCCAGCCTGGCCAACACTCAGCTTCCAGGTGAGGCTGCTGCTGCCGCTAAATCAGCTAATTAGATAAAACCCCCGGTGAAGCATGCAAGCTATGCAGATGTTGGGAAGCCAGGTCAAACTGACGTGATTCCCAGGGGCGACGTGTCGGGGGTGCACGTGCACCCCCTGAGCGCAGTGGTGCACCTCCTGCAAAAAGGCAGTCACTACTCACCACCCCGCCGCCGACATTGCCAGCAGTGTCTGTAGGTGGTCCATGATTCCTGCTGGCCACTGCTGCCAGTGTCAGTGTCAGCTGCAGGTGGTTGCCGAACCTTGGTCAGCGCTCACCACCCCAGTGGCGGCAGCGTCTGCAGGAGCTCCCCTGCCTACCGCCACTGCACTCCCACAACAGCATTCCCACTGTCGCTGTGCACCCCCAGCCGCCAGGAGCACTCACTGTTCATGGTGATTCCTCTTC